AGGATATATTCCGAAATATATTGAGATGACGTGATCAATTTTTTAGTGGGGATGAGAAAATACATTTTGATCAAAAATTTACCATGCTTATGATCACTTTAAAACATCTCCAAGATTTCAAACGATTCGGTTTGGCAGATTCAAAATTAAATTGCAAAATGTTGTTTTATAATTTTGATTTTTTTCCAAAAATTTACACGTTTTATACTTTCGGAGATTATCTGTCTAATAAAAATCAGGGCGGCAGACAGACAGACGGAAACGGGAGACTTACTTTTTCGTATTCTAGGGGTCATGAAAGGTCGAGAAAACGTAAAAGTAGGGAGTTGGCCAACGAACTCGATTTACTTTCTTTACGCTCGGGAAGTAAAGATGGAGTTCATTTTCGAATTTACCCCCCAAAAATATATGAGAATCAGTTATCAAACTGTAAACAATGTTTGTGAAGTTAAAAAACGTGTATAAAGAAAAATTCTAGATAAATTATTTCACACTCAAAATTATTAAATAAAAAAATGACATTCGATAAAATGATTTTTGTAAACAGTTTTCAGAATATGTAAAAAAGGTCACATTTAAAAATTCTAAACTCCACCATATTTAACAACGATTGTCTCGAATTTTATTATATTGGTTTGACATGTATACAGAAAAAATACTCCAAAGTTTAGAAATAGAACGCCCCATTTGTTACATAAAATTGCAAATACCTTAAAATTGTTTTTGATATCATTCCGATTTTGACAAAAAATATAAATATATTTAATACTGAGTTACCCAAAAACATGCAAATATGATGTGTAAATATAAACGAAACACCTTAACCACATATACATTTGACAATAATTTGTAGCCTTAAATATGTTCCGTTGTTAGCCCGTTGTTCAGGATTTAAAGTGATCAGTTAAATCTGAACTTTTTACCTAAATTAAATTTCAAAATTTAACTTGGTCTTTAATCTGTGTTCAGCCGCGTGTAAACGATTCCGTGTTGCATGATTTTTTTATACAGGAATTCGGAATAACAGGATCCGATATAATAGTACACCTTTCACATGTTTCCTCAAATTACTAAAAAGAAATAAAAATACGAAAAAATCTGTGCACTTAAGTCCGATCAGTCAACGAACAGACTGGACTGAGCGATGTGGTAAAGATGAATACATATACATACATTTTAAAATATATGACTACGTCACTGCAACTAAACATTCACGGCTCCTTTATGCAAAGTAAAAGGTACCTACTCTTGAATTTTAAAACGAAGCTTGTGGAATACAGGAAATACGCTCTGAGGTGAATCAAGTACATGCAGTTGTAAAAATTACATTTTTTATTGTAGATATTTTATATTTATTTATTTTTATGGAATTTTACAAAAGTATTAATAGTATCATATCAACAAAAACTGAGAAATCTCAATTAGTCTTTTCCTGCCAAGAGTGTCTCGATAATTTTAATCTGATTTAGATATCGCGTCCAACACTTTGATAACGTCCAGCAATCAATCATTGTTGGTCATTAAGTGGAGCATTATTTTAAAAATCTTACGTATTGGAATCAATCACTCAAATTAGATAAAAATAATTTTTAGTACAAACCTTTTATAATAAGTGTTACTTTCTTCTGATGGTATATTTTTGGTATTTGTAGTAACGAAAAAAAATGTGCTCATTATTTTTGTAACCACATTGTGTTAATTTTTTTATAACCAAAACATCAAAGAAAACAATGTTTACGAAATAAGAAAAATCTAGTTTACCGATATTTATAGAAATGCGACAGTGTGTTAAATTTATAAATAGATAAAAGGACAAAACTATTCAAACACAAATATAGACGGTTTACGTAACAGCTTGGAACCCCCCTTTGGGCCAATAAATAAAAGTGAAAAATTCAAAACCACAAACACGACTTTCGTTTAACTAAATTTTGTAAATTAAGCGAAAATCGTTACTACAATTCTTCGTTTCCCAGAAAGCAACACCGTTTTAAATATTCAAACAGCTGAATGTTTTAACAAAATTGATCTCGTTTTCGCCAAAGCCCAATTACCAGAAAAACAGCGCAACTAATAACTAAATAATGAACAAAACAATTCATTGGAACGCAGCTTCTGTTCTCAGGAGCAGAATGCACACTCTCTTTAATTGCACTTAATTTCGTTTTTCATAAAATAAACCACAGAATTAACAAATTAATATACCAATATCGTATCACAAAAAGTGATAGAAATAGCAGAGTAATTTACAGTAATCATAAACAAGTTATTGTAATTCTGGTCGACTACGATGACAATTAAAATGATTCGTAACAAAAGATTACACGATTTTCCGCATTAGAATAAGCGACAAAGATAAAGCTGTCCGGGATTTACGCAACCGCGATATAATCGCAAAAAAAACGCCGACAGAAAAGTACCAGTGGCCTAGAAATACGTAAAAACCTACAAGCTAATGTTATGCACAAGTTCACACAGAATTTTCCCAACGAGTGCAGCGAGTCTTTATTAAATACGCTAGATTTATTTTTGTACTATCGCTACATTTGCTCATTACCGCAGCGTAGAATATGCAAAAAGTCCCGTTATAAATAAATCAAACACTGCCACCTGTAGGATAATTAACTGAAAGCATGCCAGCTGTAATCTAACTTGATATTATATTCACCGCTATTTGGAGTAGTTTGTCTCTATGCAAATTTTTGAATAAAATTTATCAGTTTTAGCAAAAAGGAAAGTCGATGAAATTACTGTGCGCATCGCGTTAAAACTACGGAATAATGAACAATGTTTTTTAATAAAGTATGCAGTGAAGCTTCCTGGAAATTTTAATATACGGTCTTTGACTTTTTTAAAGATAACTACTGACGTGATTGTAGTTGTTTGAGATTGTTAGTAACAGGTGTAATCAATTCCACGTGTAGAGTTGGCTCATTTTAAAAATCAAACTGTGGCAGTCGAATTTAGATACGTAAATATAATTATAAAGAAAAAACATCCCTTATTTTAACGGTTTACCATATAGCAATCTAGCCAAATAAATATTACTTAACATCGAAAACTAGGATTTTTATCAGATGAACTAAATTTAATGAAACTCCAGAGCTGTCAGATTTCATGTTTGCGGTAAATTATCTAATAAGTAATTTTGACAGTGTTTGCAAAAATTCCCTTTCATTATTATCATTTAATATTAACATTTAAACATCATCAATTACAGCAAATAATACAGTTAAAAAAATAATAATACATTATTTTGTGCCTTTCAACTTGTTTCAAAGCCTCGTCGATACTTTTTTTTAATTACATATACAGTATATGTATTGTCGTATATTGTCTATTAAAGTTGACCCAGTGGATTTACTATCTTTTTTCTAACTGGGGAATTAGCTATAATGTCTAAATTTAGTGTGAACAATAAATATACCTCAAGGACATATTACAAAATTCATTGCAGTAATTCCGTTATAAGAACCTGCTGCTTCTTCAATCGTTGATATTAAACTTCATTCACTGAGATTAATTTTAACAAAAGTCAATAAAAACATTACTTAATGACTAGCACACAATATTTGCAATATTACCAATAGACACAAAATTTTAAATTATCATAATATCATGTATTAAACAAAGTAAACAAACTTAATAGTCCAATACTAACGGGAAAGCATATCTATGTGATATGAGTCTGATACCAAGTAAACAAATATAATACCTACATACTTGGAACGTAAAATTCTACTAAAAATCTGTTTCATTTAGGACGACAAACAAACGAAACAAACTTGCTTTTATCGCAGTTATAAATCTGTTAAATGCCACAGAATTTTAAACACCAATTCCACTACCCAATTAACAGCATTTTTATGAATGTGCATACAAGTGTGAATGTTAAATTTCCTCATTAAACAGCAATCACTTCACCTTATTGCTTTCTCAGCAATTTTAAAAAATATGTGCTTTCTATGGTCTACAAAATAAAATGCATTTACAATATGTCATGATGGATTTCTACAACCGCTACAGCTTCCAGAAGACAAACAATGAAACAATTTTATCAATTAGACACTGTACTTACGGTTCAGCTTCGATACTCTTCAATTTAGCTACATAGTTGGAGGGTATGTACCCCTCTTGTCTAGTCCTTTTGCTCCTAGCCAACCACCAATCACCCTGTGTATCATTTAAAATTTCCAAATGCTCCCCCTTCCTGAAACTCAAATCTTCGTCCGTTCTTGCATCGTAGTCGTACAAGGCCACAAAAATTTTGGCATTCGTCGTTTCAGGCTCTGGATTGACCACCGCGGGCCTCACCACTTCCGAGGGAGGTGTGGGCATGGGGTTTGTTGGTAAACTGTTGTCTTCGATGGGGCTTACACCAATGGGTCTGTTCCGGTCTATCCTATCGTTACTAGAAGGGCTGCTCAGACAATTCCCCATTTTTATGAAAAAATCGTCTTTGTACAACTCACTTCACTTGTCACAACAATCCAACCGTAAGAACATCACCACCAGTGAACATAAATCACTTATTATTGTGTATGTCGTTGTTTTTCGATTCGATAACGTTGAAAGTAAATTAAATACATTTATGCAGTCACGTAGACGCGTACCGTTACTAAATAACGAAACCCATCACGATTATTAACGATAATATTGGCGGAACAACAGTGGAAAAGTGCACTTTTCCTATTTGCGATAATAGTAACTTTCGCCTATCAGGGTTGACTTCGCACCAATTAGAAATTACTATTGTGGTGTTGGTGGCACTGGATTAAAGCAACACCTACTGCATGACACAACAAACAACTCAGACAAAAGTGTGCCTTATTTGTTTGTACTTACGGTTCTTTATCGCATTCACAACCATCGCGCATCAAACAGCGGTTTTTTTAATTGTTTGAACCCGACGTTTTCTATTTCATGTCTTCATGTACAAATCGTATGTGTTTATCCTTTTCCACCGTTTGACAGATCTGTCACTAAAACCAGTGCTACCGAATTAACTTTCTTGCTTGTCATCTACATTGTACTTGTCATTTCGCTATTCCGGTGCGCCAATTTTTGTGTTTGTTAGAGTAATCTACAATTAGACACAATTTTCCAACCAGTTTTTACTTTTGTAATTAACTTTAGTGTTTAGACAACGATGCCGCAATTCAAGGGTAAGTTTCATTCAGAAACTGAAAAGATAACCTGTACTGTTGTTGCTTAGTTAAAGTGAAATGGGGAAAGGAGTCTTATCCGGACATCGAAGTGAATACTGACGAGCCCCCCATGCTTTTCAAGGCTCAGCTGTTTGCTTTGACAGGTGTTCAACCGGAGAGGCAAAAAGTGATGATTAAAGGAGTGACCCTTAAGGATGTTGATTGGGATAATTTTAAGTTGAAAGATGTGAGTAAAATACGTTTTGGAATGCGTCTATAATGAGCGTATTTCAGGGGGTTACTGTGTTACTTATGGGGAGTAAAGAGGAAGATGTGCCAAAGGAACCAGTTGAGAAAACTGTGTTTGTTGAGGATATGAATGAAAGTGAATTAGCGACTGCTGTAAGTAACAAAAAAGTTGGAAAATTCGCCTCACTGTGCTTTTTGTAGCTTGACCTTCCAGCTGGGTTGACAAATTTGGGAAACACTTGTTATATGAATGCAACAGTTCAGTGCTTGAAATCAGTTCCTGAGCTGCGGGAAGCGCTTCAGACATATCAAGGAGGTAGCACCATTGTATTTATTCCTTATTGAATTTAACTTTTGGTTTTGTAGAAGTTACAGATGCTGGCGGTGTGATTCCCGCTCAGTCCATCACTGCAGCGTTGCGCGACCTTTATTCTACCATGGATAAAGGAAATAATGTTCCTCCTATAGTGCTTCTTCAGATGTTACACATGGCTTTTCCCAGGTTTGCTGAAAAAAATGAACATGGTGGATTTGCTCAACAGGTTGATAATAGTGTATTATGTCTTGAGGAGGAGTATTAATTTTAATTTTTAGGATGCCAATGAATGTTGGACTGAATTAGTGAGAATGTTGCAACAGAGATTACCCGCCAAATTGGGTTCTGGTAGTAGTCAAGAACAATTCAAGTAAATATTCTTTGTAAATAATTTTTTGAAAATTTTAGCTGTATTTTTTTTAGATCTTTGATTGATCAATATTTTGGAGGAACTTTTGATGTAGAATTGAAATGTACAGAAACAGAAGATGAACCAGTTACTAAGAATAAGGAGCAGTTTTTACAGTTGAGTTGTTTTATATCCCAAGATGTGCGTTATATGCATTCTGGCTTGAGATCGGTATGTTTAATTGTTTTATATTATTTTAAATTTGAAAAATGATCAAATTAACTTTTATTTTTCATGAATGGACGGCAAAAATAAATCTCATTGAGTTGGTAAAGCAAAATAATAAAAAATCGGGCAACAGTTTTTAAGCATATGTGTAAAATTAAATCACATAATTTTTGTTAATTTAAAATATTCGTACTTAAGAGGGTAGTTAAACTAAAATTTTAACTCTCAGCAAACGGTATGTGAGATGTAGAAATCTGTAAAATAATTTCGTTGCTTACCATTAACAAAAAACTCTACCCTTTTGTCTTTCATGTTTTTTGGTATGGCTAGTGAAATATAAAAAAGAAGGTTTTGCGTTTCCGTCCGTCTGTCGTCTGTTTGTCTGTCTCTTAGACCCAGTATTTCAGTTGTTGGGTAAAACCGTAGTTAACAAACCCTGGTTACACTTTGATCAAAACTTTAACCAAGCGCCGGTATTTCAGTAGCGAAACTTTGGTTAAGTATATTGTGGTTATCTAACCAACATTTTTCCTAAGTTGGTATCATGATTGGTCTCACCGGTTCAGAGGAGCATGCGCAAGAATCTAGATGCTCATTACTGTTTTTAACCTCACTCTTGTCTTTTTTACATTTTGCCCCTTGTGGGTGTGGTTTATTAATAGTCTACCCCTACTTTTAATTCAACTTACAGGACTCATAACCAAAAATATGTAGAATTCACATAACATATGCTGCTTTTTCATAAAAACGGTCAGGTCAATTTTGGACTTAGGAAAGTGGTTATAATAAAAATGAAATTTATACTAACGCTGTAAATTAAAAAAAAATGTTTTCTTTTGAAAGTGCAATATGTAACGAAATAAAAAAGAATTAAAAATTAGTGTAGTCTAGAGTAGAAACAATTGTTATTTTTAATTTTAATTCGTCCGCAAGAGAAGTTTTATTGATCTGTTAGTTACAACAATAAATTGTTGTGTAAAGTTAAACACTATAAAGTTCATACATCTATGGAAAAGATAAAGAAGGTTAAATTTATATTTTGTTCTAAAATAATGAACATTGACTAAAGACGTCTAGTAGGTTTATTTAAACTACTGATAACTTTTGCGAAAATCATCAGGGTGCTTTACTCTAGGAAACTCAATTCGTGGAAATTTTCACTTTTTCAAACTAGCTATAAACAAGACGAGGCAGTGAATAATTGTTAGAAAAATTCTAAGCAGTTTCTAAATAAACTCATACGTCATTTGGTCAGCGTTTACTGTTTCACACCATATTGATGATAAATGATAAATGTTTTTATTTCAGTAAGGAAGGACAGAAATATATTAATATCATTACAAAGTAAGTTTAGTTAAAAAAAAAATAAAATAAAAATTGATGTATTTAAAACATTTTGACAAGGTATACGCAAGCTACCCAACGATATTTACATTGTTATGGAGACAAAGATTGTTATTTAAAGATTCACAGCTGCATCATTTCTAAAAATGAAGGTTTGGAATTTTCACAAAACCTTTTAGTCACCTTGCTTAAACATAAAAATAAATATAAAAAGTAGGACAAGGTTATTAATAACAAATTGTTAATTGTGTCATGTTTTTGAGATGGAACAGCCTTTATGGAGGTGTACTTAAGTCTTAATAATTCCAAAAAAACTTTGTACAAAAACAAAACTCAACAAGTTTTTAGATATGATAATTTTTTTTAAGTAAAAATGTAATAATTTCAAAACTGTGGATGAAAAACCTTTTTTGCTTTCATTGTCCTCCTTTTTTAATAAAGAATCTAAATTTGTGAAAGTATAATGCAACTATGTGTGTAACTTTCAAACGAAACATTAGAATTCTGCCAAACGACGTCGAGGGATTTTTTCAATTTGATCATAGAAAATGTGTAATCTTAACGGGGCTAGACTTTGTATAAAAGTATTTTAATGTGGTGTCTGAGAGTCGTGCAACATTTTGAATTCATTATCATCCTTTTTACCACATACCAGTACGCCTGTTAAATGAGATCTAGAATACTGACGTATAGATATATGCTGGTAAGGTATTGCAGTAGATAGATGTGATCAGTGGCGGCTCCTCGGGGTGGGCAGGGTGGGCAATGCCCACCCTATTTGTTTGTTTATGATACGAAGTAAAATATTGATTTTTTTTCTTTTTTAAAATATTTTATATGTATACACAAATAATTATCGTCGTAAGCATCATTTAAGCCAACGGATTTTCTTCATTACATCCCGCAGTTTCCGCAACTCAGAAATTGCAGTTGTAAAAAAGTGTATCAGATCTCGGCGTTATACGGTTCATGTGAGGATGGGCTAGTCCACCCTGGTCCACCCTCTTGATTGTAAGCAACGACATACGTTCGGTTTTCTATGTACGTAATTGAGAGTAAAGAATTCGAAACGCGCGTCTTTGCGTATCCGTGTTTTCTTGCTGCAAGCGGGGCAGGACGCCCTAGCTTCAACGTATATCTCAAACGCTGCAGAATCGGATCTCTCAATATTCGATTCAAGGATTCAATAAATTAATTTCGATTTTTTTACTTCTTCTGTATTGTAAAAGTATAGAGGTAATTATTTTTATTACTCTACTGAAATATGGGTAAGGTACTTACTAAGGAAAATAATGTTATGCGAAAATTCTTGAATACTATTGTTATAGAAAAGAGGAACACCATAATAATTAATAAATACTTTTTCATATCAAATGAAAATTTGTAATAACCATATTCTTGTATTATGACACCGTGTAAACTTTATAATGAATTATAAATTTAAAAATCCGAATAACTAATGATGAGAATAAGTAATACATTTATTATTGCAGTACGTATCTGACATGTGTATTTTTTTATTATTACATATGTATTTTTGTTTCATAAATATAACTGTAGCAGAGTCAACAAAAGTTAAATATACGCTTAATTTATTATTTAATTCAGACTGTCCGCACAGGTTTGTTACGCGTTCGCTCTAGCATGGGTGGGCAAATCCACCCTGAAAATCGGAAGCACTTGGCATGGTTCGTCCTCGTCGGAGACACGACTCAATTGAATTCAGTCAGATCAGAAACTCCAATGTGGATAGTGCATTTAATTATAAAATGTAGCTTATTCAAATTACCAAATAGTTAGGCGGGTACCAAAGTAGGTACTTTCTAACAATTTTTTTTAATGGCAAATCCTACTGTAAGCTGTGCAAATAATATTAGAGAGGTGGTAAAGAAGGCATTAAAGACATTGAGTTTTTCTTTTTAATAAATAAATTCAGTAGTATGGAACTTGATATTTATGAATTATTTGTTTATAAATTAAGATCATGTCCCGAAATGAAACAATTGGTCATCACAAACTCTCGTGGCAGTAATAAAGGCTTTAATCAAAGTTCGGACAATAAATATTAGGTCCCTATTGGTTGATCGGTAGTGAAACAACAAACAAAACTGTTGGAATTATTTGCTATTTAACTTAAAATTAAATTACGAATACTTTAGAATTCCACAAGAAGAGCGATATAAAATATATCGCTACTGCTTTACAAAAACATGACCAATCTGAATAAACGAAAATTACTTGGAAAACGAAGTGAAACTATAGAAAATTCTCTTAAATTCGGCGTTTATTCGATATGATAATTTTCTTGGCTACACAAAAACATACATTTCGGGGACAAGATGAATCGCAAATTTCTTTTAAAGTAAATTCGATGATAAATTTAAAAAGTCTTTTGGAGGAGTCTTTGGTAATTAGTGGTCTTCAGAACGATTATTTTGGAATTATTTTTATTTTATTTGTTATTGTTAACTTTGTTAGTATTTTGAGAATTTATTTTTTGTTTCATTTGGCATTTTTAATTTTGCTTTTACAATAATTTTCCAAATTGCTACTTTTTCTAAGTGTAGCTTATCTCAAAGGTTTAAAATTTAATGTTTTCTCGTCATGTTATTTCAAAATCTTTACATGTTGGGATCATTATTTGAGTTTATAGTTCTATAAACTCCTAACAAATCTATTTATGTGCTGAACCTTTTTTTTGCTCCTCTTTCCTCTTCTAGCAAGAGTCTTCGACGTTCTCGTTGGTTCTTGCTGACCGACATTGTAAGTAACATTTATAAAATAATATATATGTAATATACATAAAATTAAAGTCACTAGATATATATCTAGTGACTTTACATAAAATATTTGTTATATTATATTGATTGACATGCAGCACCAAAACAAAAACACGTTCTCACAAAAATGATTAATTATATATATGTATATATTTTTTTTTCATACATGTTATAACATAACCTACCTATAATGCTTTGCCCACCCATCAAAAATCACCACGAGCCGCCACTGGATGTGATAACTGTACATAGGCTAAATCTTTATGAATGCTAATTTCTAACCCTATTTTCTGACACCTGAAAAATTTCGATATTCAAAAAGAAAGTACAAATGTTGTCTGAACTCAAATACATCGGCGCCAAGCTTTAAAGGATGCTTTGAATTTAAGTACATGGAAGTTTGTCCACACTCTTATAACATAACTAGTAAAATAAAACTTCTGAGGTAAAACGTTAATATTTTTGCGAACTTTAATTGACAATAAAATTTGTAAGGGATATTTCCGCTTAAGGCGGTATCACTGGGAACAGATACTGTCCTCTTCCAACAAAAATTAGAAAATATTACAATAATAGTGGAATAAGAGTTCGATAAAATTTCAGTATCGTGTACTAATAAATAATTATAAGAATAATTACAATACAAAAACATAAAAGTTTGTTACAATTTCTTCATCAACAAATAATGCAATAAATAAAATGAACATTTTGTGTAGTCGATCAAAATCAAAATTCAAACTTACCGAACAAAGAATTTATTTACCTCTCTACCTCCTACTTTAAAAAAATAATTTTTGTGATCATCCTTAATTAATTAATTCCTTCACATAATATTTGAAAAAAAAAATCCTTCAATTTTTGTTGCATTTTTTCAGTATAAAATTTCTTGTTGTAAAATTTTCTCTTTTTCCCCCTACAAATTTCGCCAGTACAGAATTATAATTTTCCGAAGCATTATTCGACATATTTTTCAAAAAACTGCTACTAGATTTTATTGACCAGTCTGTTGAGGTGAATCAATACATCATTGTATAAACCACATTGTTTGAACTCCGGAATAAAATTTTTTTAGTTTTGGAACCATTGCAGAAGCATGTATCACATTTTTCATGATTTCCGAAAACACGATGAATACTGTTCAGAATATCATTTTTTTAATGCATTCTGCTCTTCTGGTGTATTTTTTACTGTTTCTTCTTTTCAATGTTTCTTTCGTTTTTATGGTTTTTCGTTAAATCGGTTCTTCAAATTTTCGATCCTCGATTTTCCGATTTCTTTAATTGTCAATATTTTCATTCTATATTTCGTTTTTTTAGGTTTTCCACCTTTTTGATTTTTAAGTTTCTAGTACTTGCTAAGATAAGACTGATTGTGGCAGACGACATACCCTCTAAGAAAATAGGGGCGGGTGGGCGGGGCTAGTCCTTATTAAGATAAGATTGGTTTTGGTAAATGACTGAACAATATTAAGAGTAATTACTGGAATGAAGAGGGAGTGTGTGGGTATAAAAGATACTGTAGTATAAAGGAAAGCTTAGCCCCGCCCACCCACCCTGTCTCTATTTCAGTGATTCATTTTATCTTCTCCGAATAGTGGTTCTCAATTGAACAGAGATAAAATCGTTAGATTGGGAACAGCGTGTGAGGGCGGGACTAGTATCTGCTAACACAAAGTTGATTTTGGTAAAAGACAGACCCTCTAAGAAAAGAAAAGATGAGTGGGTGGGGCTCGTACTTGGTAAGATAAGAGGATAAGACTAATTGTGGCAGATGACATACCCTTTAAGAAAATAGGGGCGGGTGGGCGGGGCTAGTTCTTGTTAAGATAAGATTGGTTTTGGTAAATGACTGAACAATATTAAGAGTAATCACTGGAATGAAGAGGGGGTGGGTGGGCCGGGCTATTGCTTGCTTATGAAAGATTCTGTAAGATAAAGGAAAACTTAGCCCCGCCCACCCACCCTGTCTCTATTTCACTGATTCATTTTATCTTGTCCGAATAGTGGTTCTCAATTGAAGAGAGATAAAAAAGTTAGATTGGGAATAGCGTGTGAGAGCGGGACTAGTATCTGCTAACACAAAGTTGATTTTGGTAAATAACAGACCCTCTAAGAAAACAAAAGATGAGTGGGTGGGGCTCGTACTTGGTAAGATAAGACTGATTGTGGCAGATGACATACCCTCTAAGAAAATAGGGGCGGGTGGGCGGGGCTAGTCCTTGTTAAGATAAGATTGATTTTGGTAAATGACTGAACAATATTAAGAGTAATCACTGAAATGAAGAGGGAGTGTGTGGACCGGGCTACTGCTTGCTTATGAAAGATTCTGTAAGAAAAAGTTAAACTTAGCCCCGCCCACCCACCCTGTCTCTATTTCAGTGATTCATTTTATCTTGTCCGAATAGTGATTCTCAAATGAAGAGAGATAAAATCGTTGGATTGGGAACAGGGAGGGCGGGGCTAACATAAAGGTTGATTTTGGTAAATGACATACCATCTAAGAAAACAAAGGGCGGGTGGGCGGGGCTAGTACTTGTTAAGATAAGATTGATTTTGGTAGATGACATCTTTGATTTTTTATTTTAAAATTTTGCAATTGTTCCATTTTTATTCGAAAAGTTGAAAAATCGACAAATTAAAAACTCGAAAAACTAAAAAATTGAAAAAATTGACAAAATCGAAAAAACGGAAAATCGAAAAATTGCGAATCGAAGAGCTGAAGAAACGAAAAATCGAAACACCGAAAAACTGAAAATCGAGAAACTTAAAAATCGAAAAAAGCGAATCGAATCGAAAAATTGGAAAACCCAAAAATTTTAAAATTGAAAAATGATAATAAAATTGTAAAGAGGAAAAACTGCAAATTTTCTATTCTCGATTTTCCGATTTCTTTAATTGTCAATATTTTGATTCTATATTTCGTTTTTTTAGGTTTTGCGCCTTTTTGATTTTTAAGTTTCTAGTACTTGCTAAGATAAGACTGATTGTGGCAGACGACATACCCTCTAAGAAAATAGGGGCGGGTGGGCGGGGCTAGTTCTTGTTAAGATAAGATTGGTTTTGGTAAATGACTGAACAATATTAAGAGTAATCACTGGAATGAACAGGGGGTAGGTGGGCCGGGCTATTGCTTGCTTATGAAAGATTCTGTAAGAAAAAGTTAAACTTAGCTCCGCACACCCACTCTGTCTCTATTTCACTGATTCATTTTATCTTGTCCGAATAGTTGTTCTCAAATGAAGAGAGATAAAATCTTTGGATTGGGAACAGCGTGTAAGGGCGGGGCTAACATAAAGGTTGATTTTGGTAAATGACATACCCTCTAAGAAAATAAAGGGTGGGTGGGAGGGGCTAGTTCTTGCTAAGATAAGACTGATTGTGGTAAAGGACATACCCTCTAAGAAAACAAAGGGCGGGTGGGCGGGGGTAGTACCTGTTAAGATAAGATTGATTTTGGTAGATGACATCTCCTAAGAAAAAAAGGGTGGGTGGCCGGGGCTAAAACTTGCTAAGCTAGGACTTAAGAATGGAACGAAGAATTGGTGGGTGGGCGGGGTTACTGCTTGCTCATACAACCTTGATTTTTCATTTTAAAATTTTGAAATTGTTCCATTTTTATTCGAAAAGTTGAAAAATCGACAAATTAAAAACTCGAAAAACTAAAAAATTGAAAAAATTGACAAAAACGAAAAACGAAAAATCGGAACACTGAAAAATTGAAAAGCGCGAAACTTAAAAATCGAAAAAAGCGAATCGAATCGAAAAATTGGAAAACCCAAACATTTTAAAATTGAAAAATGATAATAAAATTGTAAAGTCGAAAAACTGCAATACCGAAATATCGAAAAATTGAAAAATTAAATATAGAAACGGTGCAAAATTGAAAATCGAAAAATTGGAAAATCGGTTAAATGAAAAAGTTTTAAAGTTGAATACTTGAAAGATTTGAAAACTCAAGTATCTGAAAAATTTTAAATTGAAAAAACGAAAAATAGGACAATCCTAACACTGAAAACCGAGAAATTGAAAAAAATAAAGAAAACAAAGAACCGAAACCAAAATTTGCAAATCGAAAAGTTAAAGAAATGAAAAATGCAAAATCGAAAAAATGCAAATTGAAGAATTGAAGAAGCGAAAAATGAAAATACTGAAAAACTAAAAATTGAGAAACCTAAAAATCCAAAAAAAATCGGTTATTATAACAAAATGTTAACAAAGTATCCTCAAATGTTTCTAATAGTTTTAAAGAATTTGTTGTGATGAATTTTTAAATGGGAGTTAGTTATATTTTGTTGCTTTTATTTTAAATGAATAAGTACATACTTACACATAGATATGAAGTAATAAATTGCTGTTGCTAGCCTTTAAAATCAAATTTCAATAAAAGAGGGACAAAATATAACTAGTAAGGATTCTTAAAAAAAATTACAACTCTAAGTCAATTTGCCTCGTGTTTAAACGAGAACAAAATTGGGAAGAAAATTGTCCCCCAAACCAACCCGAGTGATACCGCCTTAATAATATAACCCTGTTCATGTATAAAGTACTATTTTGGAGAATAAGTTAGTAACAATAAATTAAATTGGTACTTTTCGAGCGATTATTAAAAAAATACTCCTATATATTTGTGATAAGTTTCCCGCGTCAGTCTAACCTTGTTTTTTCACTTTTAAAATAATTAATTAGGAATTATAATTATGACTATGACAATTTGTACTACATAGAAGCAGTTCAGATAAATAGTTAATAATTTTTACCGCAATGGTAGCAAATTTTGGATAAAAGCTCCAGATTGTTAGGTTAAAGAACGACTACACAACTTTCTATTGGTCCCAAATAAATTCATCATTTTCTGTTGTAAACGTTTGCGTTTGTTAAGTATAATTCTTGATTGTAATTTTTAAATGTTTGGAAACATCGCCTGTTCAGTGTTGAAATTTTTTGAAAGAATAATTTTGAAAAAACGATTTAAGTACTCTAAAATTTTAAAGGCGCTTTAAGATTATCGTAAGATATTATGATTGTATTCATGCAATGTAGTGAATAATTATCAAAACAGAATTTAGTAAGTATGTGTATGTGGGTATTCAAAACTTGTTTTCTCTAAAACTAATTAAAATTAAAATCAATTATTTAGTTTAAAACAGGTGACAATTCTGTTTGAAAAGATTTATCAGTATAAAGTAGGACACTGAAACAACACACTTAAAACAAAACTATTGTACCTGCATGATTTTCATTGTAGTGTGTAGTTGCCACATTTCACAAAAAGTGAAGAGGAAGTTGGATATCATACCATATTTATATTTATTATATTGTAGCATAACGTTGTTAGCACTGTTCATACATTTCCCACACGTTATTTTCCTTTACTAGGGTATGTGGTGTAAGTTGATATAATTATTAACTACTATAATTCATTGGACAAAATTATGATCCAGTGATCCGTTTAATTCAAAGCAAAACAATTTCAATTAACAAAAAAAAAAGCTATTCGTGAATAAATTTTTGTTGATTGCTTTTACAAAAATCGACTTTCATATTTTTGTCACGTGACATCACTCTTTTCGTCTACACCCTCTTTTAACAAATTTTTATAATTTTCATACTTTGATTCTCCACATATGCGCTACCACTCTATCCGTCAGTTATTGTAATTGAATTGAAAATAAAGTGAAGCGATAAATACACAATAATCAAATCTTTACAGAAAATGCAAGAGCAAATTACCAAAAAATCATCGATTTTGGACAGGGATGCGGTTTACATTAAAACCGTAAGTGTGCATTACTCGCGTAATTAATTCTACAGTTGTTTTTTCCAGTCTAAGATAAGTAGATTGCCAGCCTATCTAACTATCCAGTTTGTAAGGTTTTATTATAAGGAGAAAGAATCGATAAACGCGAAAATCCTTAAAGATGTGAAGTTCCCGATGGAATTTGATGCATATGATCTGTGTACACCCGAATTGCAAGAAAAATTGGCACCAGTGAGAGCTAAATTTAAGGTAGATTGTAAAGTCAGGTCGTAAAACTGCCACTGTACGTATGTTACAAACAGGAACTAGAAGATGCCCAAGTAGAAGCTGCAGCAAAAGATAAAAACAAGAGTCAAGGAGACGGTAAAACAACTGATGTGGAGAAAAAGTACTCTCCATATTGGTTCCAGGATGACTTGGGAAGCAACAATAGTGGATATTATACTCTTCAGGCTGTGTTAACTCATCGAGGTCGATCTTCCTCCAGTGGTCATTACGTCGGATGGGTCCGTCACACGAATGATAGGTGGATAAAATGTGACGATGATAATATCTCTCAAGTTACTACGGACGATATTCTGAAACTCTCTGGTGGAGGTAAATTTTCGTTTACTTTGTAGATTTGTGGTATCGTTGAATTTGTAGGTGATTGGCACTGCGCTTACGTTCTTTTGTATGGGCCTAGAATGCTAGAGATCTCAAACGTCGATACTGAAGAGAAAATGGCGACAGATTAAAATTGAGCTTTAAATTATATTCTTTGTATAGAACTGAAAAACGTTTCTTAAAATAAACAACCGATTAATAATTTTTTTTATTTGTATATAAAAACACACTACGGGAACACAATTGTTTTATACATTACTCAAGTGGAATCAGTATTAATAACGCCCTGATTGTCTCCTAAAGTAAAAAACTCGCTTTGTCGTCCTATGTCATGAGATTTTCTTTGGCTAGTTTGATGATTTTTCGGCAGTTTCTTCACTTAACTGAAAGTCGGTGAAATTCATACTTCTCACATTTTCGGAGGGCCGAAATTGGACCATGAGAAAGTTTTAAATTTTCACAAAGTTGGTTCTAAACGATTTTGTACAAGTCCTTGTAAATGCTTCGCGAATAAATCTTTCACGGTTTTGTCTCCCAGCATGAATGAAAAATTATGGAAAGAGCTGGTTCGTTCTTGTTTTGTCTGTTCATGTAATTAACAACAGACGCAGCACGATGAATTGAATTTTTCACAAAGCGTAGACTCATTTATCATTGTCACTGTTCTCGTTCAATATCTGAACGCCCCGTCAATACAAAAATGTTGCAGTCTGAACAAGGAAAATATTTGTTTTCTTATTGACGGCTGTGTGTCGTAATGATGTAGCGTTTTTGGAGCAGTTAGTGGGATTAAAAACAACTTTCGGGATATGTATTCCTGAGTCATTACTGAAATCTCTCCCCCTTTTTGGGGGAGAAAATAAGTTTCCGGCAATTTATGTCCAATAATAAATGCATTAAAGTACCGGAAGTTACTCATCTAATTAATTTCCTGGTTTCAAGTAGTCAATTTTCATTAATTAATGAAAGTGTTCGGTTCGCGAAGCATTTTTTCTTTGAATTTAGAATCGTTTAGAATCACACGTAAAGTCTAGGGAAAAACATTTGTAAAATGTTTTTCAGCACCATTTTGCTGTTGTAGCCTACAAATGAATATAAATTCGTCACATACAATACAAAACATGGACTTTGTGTTTAGGTAGATATACACACAATAAAACAAATTATATATTATTGAACACTTTGTTGTCTTATATTATGAAAATTTCTGGAGCTATGTCTAAATTAAACGACTGTTGTCTTGTTAGAAATCGGTGAATAATACTGTACAGAATATAAATACTAATAAAAATCGATAAAAATCTAAAATAAACTATTTACAATAAATGACTCTTGTTGCCTATTCTGAACGAGTGAATTTGCTGCAGGATCCGTATACTTACTAATCTTGCAAATATTGCAATAAATTTGGAATAATTTTTTATTTTTCTATACATTTTTACATACCGTGTAAAAATTCAAAATAAAAACATTCTTGTCAAAACAATGATATAATATTTTTGTTAACTGGTGTTATACTATCTAAATTTTGAACCACACTTAGCACTTCTGGCTGTAAGGACCTCGAACATAATCTGGTCTCTGACACATTCACTGATAACTGGCGATGCACATTACGGTTAAAACAAACACTTAAAGTTGAAGGCATTTTAGAAGAGTTTCTTGTTTTTGTGTTAAATATCATGCTACCCTATACGGATCTGAACTTTTCGACGAACAAGGTTGTACATCATCGAGGTAACTGCTGGCTTCTTGTCTAGAAGTCGACGCCACTACTGGGTAGTTGACGATAGGCTTGTAATTGTGCGTTGTCTGATTCGCTTTATGTTCAGGCGAGTTTTGTAACGACGTTTGCCGCTCCTGTAAATTCAAACTTGGATCTTCGGCGACGGGTTGATAATGGCCAATCGTGCATTTCTGGATCAGCGAGAGAATCGCCGACTGAAAGCAGCACAGGTACCCCAAACACTGCAACGGAATTAAAAATCCAGTCAACGGAAATTTACGACCTTTGAGAAGAACTATCACAAAAAACAATAACTATACACGTTATCTAAGATATCCTAATAAGTAAAAACATTGAAATTGGTCGTGCAGATTTATTACGTGTTACCAACACCACGTGTTACTAAAACATCAGTTATTATTTATGTTCGAATATACAGGTGTCCCACTTTAGCTATACCAAAACAAAACCGACTATTTTGTCACCTTCCTCATCCTCTTTTTTATTTAAAAGAATTTTAAAAATTTTGGTACACAAAATATTAAAGGTGTTATTTCATTATTTATAAAAATATTTTATCCAACGCGTTTAAAGACATACTTCATGTTCCATTTGAAAAGAAAAAGTTTATATCAATTCCGAAAAAACCAAAGGCGATGTGATGTGAATGGTGTGTATATTTATGTTTAGATTTTCTTGTGCAATTCATCGTTCTATATTTCAAATTTCTGTCTTTTAAATAAATCATGCATTAAAGTGGAATCGGTAAAATGGAACACCTGGTATACAGAGTGTTTATAAAAGAATTCTACGTTATCCTAATATTTTGAAACCTTTGCTGAAACAATTTTGGTTTTTCCAAATTTAACGAATTAGTTTATTTAAATAGATCATTTTTGTAAGAATAATTATAACATGCTGAAAACCAGTTTATTTATATTTGTATAGTTATTTGCACTACAAGGCCAGGAACTAAGTTTTTGCGAATACGAACATTAGCGAAGTGATTATTAATGACTGAAGCTAATTTTTGTGTTGGCAATTCTGAATTATTGGTATCCATGCTAGTAAGTCAGTTCAGAGTTGTAAACTTTGACATAAGTACGCCTAACAAACATGTTGATTGGTTGAGACGATGGCAGCTTTGACAATCAGGTACGTCAATATAAAATTTTAAATCGGTTGCCAACCTGACAAAAAAATCACAAACATTAATAGTCACTCGGTATTAGAGAATGGTGGCCCGAAAAATATATTAATGCACAATACGCAATTTAAAACAGTTTTTTGCTATTTTAACACTAATTACTTATTAACTATGTGTTTACTAAGAGAAATAGTGAACTAATCTGACCTTTGTAAGGCGCAACTAGAGTTCTTAAATACTATCTATGAAAGATTAGGAACAAAATGCATAAATTTTGACTGTCCTTAATATATATACACGATGAGTCAGTAAGCATGCGGTCCTCGATATCATATAAATTTATTACAGTAGAGATAGAAAAAAATCCTAGACAGGAGTTGTACGGTCTTTAAATAGCATACATTACAATTAATTTCGCCTATACACAACTTAGTTTTTTTAATCGAGCAACCTATTGTGGTGACCAAGTTTGATTTAAAATTTCACGCTGAAAAAAAAACAGCGAATTTTCTGTTGAGAGGGTTGGTAGAGGTTGATTTTGTGGCTAGAGGAGTGAGAGGCGTCCCTTTTTTTTTTTGTTGTAAGTGAAACTAGGTGATGAGTTAGCTAGGTTAAGTTTAGTTGTAGCTAATTCTTGCGTACTTACACGTGGTGTAAATTTGTTTTATTCTTTGTAAATTCACAGATCATGTTAGGATTTTAACCGTTACTAGTTCTTAACACAGTCAGGAGTTTGTTTAGATACAGAACTTGCTAGGAGATTTCATGAGATTCACTTAGTCAGGACTCACCCTCATCCACTAAATAAGGTCTCTGGATACTTATACTTAAGTGTTTCACTATAACATTTCTTAATTCCTCACACAAGATTACTAATAGTTCATTTGCGGCAGTTAAATTAACCTAACGTTGTCCCACTCTGGAAAAAGGACCGTGAAAGTGCGGTAGAATTCATAATATCGTGCACTGAGGTACGGGGGGATTAAAAATGTTTCCCCTTAGGCAGTCATCATTGTTATCATCATCATCACATCACCGAGACATATTTTCCCGCAACGCTGGATGCATGTTGTGTGTGTTTATCATGTGTTTTGTTTGGGAGAAGCTGGGGACAGTCCACAATATAAACTCTCAAAGTTAATTGTTTTAAGTAACCAGTCACTTGAATCAACGCATCATTTAACATAATGTAAATTCTTTGTCTGAATCGTTGATAAAGTGTGGTATAATTTAACATCAGGTAAATTCTTTGTTTGAATCGTTGATGAAGGTGTGGCAAATATTAAATTCATGTAATTTTGTTAGCTTTACAATTTTACCCTCAGTAATTTTCTTTGCAGACTTTTTTTGTTTTTATGAATCTTTTCTAGTTTTTTGTTTTGTAAATATTTTGTTGATTATTGCTCCCATCAGATAATTGTCTGATGTCTAATCTTAATCTCAGATAAAAATTCTTATATATAAATATAAAATTTCAGGAGAGAGGCAAATTTAAATGTTGTCTATTGCTCTTTTTGAAGCTTTAACACTTGTTCAGTTGTAATTTAATACCAGAGTCATCGAAATTCAACATTTAAATGGAATTGAGTGAAGTTAAATAACACTGAAACATGTGGCGGAAGCGGAGTGCGCGGTTCCTTGTCGAGCTGGTGGTTGCGCCATCTGCACAAAACAGGGGTGATCGGGATGACGTGACGCTGTCAGCTTATTTATAGCCGTGATTTCCAACAACGAGTTTGCGATCATAACGGCTTGCTCGCGCGGCACGTTTCTTCGTGATAGAGGGGTGTTGGGCGGCAGTGCTTGGAAGGAGAACAGCCACGACCAGGAGCCCCAAACTGCGCTCGTGCTACAACACCCCCTATGGGTAATTTTGTTGTGCTCTAGAATGAGATTGAGATAGTTCGATCGCCACACTCTTACAGCACTCTGATGCCGCTGCCACTGCGTAGAGTTTTATTAAAATTTTGTTCTCTTGTTGACTGCCATAATTTTAAATTTGCCGCCACACGTCCGTAATAACTTGTGTATTTGCATTCAGTTACTTTAATTAAGATTTTTCTTTGTGTTAGTAAATTTGTGGTATTGAAATAAATTGCATTGATTCGGAACGTTTAATTTGATTTCATTCAAAGTTAGGCAAGTTTTTTTTGTAGCTGAACATTAAGAGGTGTCTTCAACCGGCACAATTTAGTCGCAACTTTTTTTTTCTTCTTTTTTGTCAATGGAGGAATAAATGATTTTGTAGCTTCCATATATTTTGTGTTTTATTTAACGCCACTTTTCCAACCTTGGGGTCCACCACTTGCAGCTGAATGCATTCAGCCAAGGCGAAATTTTTGAATTTTTCGCGAGCTTTCAATTTTTTTTTTCAAATGTCAATTTAAGGCGGAATGTTTGGGTTATCACCCTATCTATTTTTACACAGTCTTTTTAGTCTCTTCCTAGGCTTTATAACCATAGTTTATTTTTGAAATTTCGATGCGAGATTTAAAAAAAAATCCCAATTTTAAGATCGGTGTTGTAATATTTTATGGTGACATAAAATACGCGATTTGTTGTGGTATCATATAAAGTAAAATTTAATGTACGTTTAAAAAAACGCTACAGTTTCCAAATTTCGAAAATACTGAAACAAAAGTGAAATATCGATATTTGAAAATTGTAATAAGTTATTTTTAAACACTTTGTATTTTAGATTAAATTTTATTTATACCACAAAAACTCTTACCAACATTGTAACACAGATTTTAAAAATAACCCTACTGCAAGCAAGAAAATTGGAACAACGTGGTGAGTTAGCTAGGTTAAGTTTAGTTGGTTTGGTAGTTAAAAAAGGGGAAGCCTTTGTTTAACGAAAATTAATCGTCACAGTTGCCCCAACACGCGTAGCTAATTCTTGCGGTTTTTCGAAGCGAAAATAGGCGAATTTTCGACGGACGCCAACACGTGGTGTAAATTTGTTTTATTGTTTGTAAATTCACAGATCATGTAAGGATTTTAACAGTTACTAGTTCTAACACGATTTAATAGTCAGGAGTTTGTTTAGATACAGCACTCGCTAGGAGATTTCATGAGATTCACTTAGTCAGAACTCATATTCATCCACTAAATAAGGTTTCTGGATAACACTTCTTAATTCCTTACACAAGATTATTAATAGTTCATTTACGGCAGTTAAATTAACCTAATATTGTACCACTCTGGAAAAAGGACCATGAAAGTGCGGTAGAATTCATAATATCGTGAACTGAGGTACGGGGGATTAAACATTTTTCCCCTTAGGCAGTTATCGTTATCATCATCATATCACCGAGAAGCTTTTCTCGCAACGCCTGATAAGTTTTATTTGAATCGTTGATAAAGTGTGGCATAATTTAACATCAGGTAAATTATTTGTTTGAATCGTCGATGAAGTGTGGCATAATTTAACATCAGGTAAATTCTTTGTTTGAATCGTTGAAGTGTGGCAAATATTAAACTCATGTAATTTTGTTAGCTTTGAAATTTTTCACCTCGTACAATTTTTCTCTATCTCACAATTTTACCCGCAGTAATTTTCTTTGCTGTATAATTTAAATTGAACGTAAATTTTCATGTTCTGCCGTTTCTAATTTCACGTAATTTTTTGTCTGCACAAGTTTTACTTCACACCAGATCTTTTTTGGTTTTTATAAATCTTTGCTAGTTTTTTGTTTTGTAAATATTTTGTTGATTAATGCTTCCATCATATAATTGTCTGATGTCCAATCTTAATCTCAGATAAGAATTCTTTGCTCACTTTTGCACATTTAAGTGGAATTGAGGTTCAATAACACAGAAACACGTGGCGGAAGCGGAGTGCGCGGTTCCTTGTCGAGCTGGTGGTCGCGTCATTTGCACAAAAGACGCAGACTTGAATTGAAGTCTGGGGTGGTCGGGGCGACGTGACGCTGTCAGCTTATTTATAGCCGTGATTTCCAACCACGAGTTTACGATCGTGTAACGGCCTGCTCGCGTGGCACGTTTCTTCGTGATAGAGGGAGAACAGCCATGACCAGGAGCCCCAAACTCCGTTCGTGCTCCTATGGGTAATTTTGTTGTGCTCTAGAATGAAATTGAGATAGTTGGATCGCCACACCCTTATAGCGCTCTGATGTCGCTGCCACTGCATAGAGTTTTATTGATATTTTGTTCTCTTATTGACTGCCCTTATTTTAAATTTGCCGCCACACGTCTGCTGTATTTGCATCCAATTACTGTAATTTAGATTTTTCCTTGTTTTTATTGAATTTGTGATATTCAAATATTTTTAGAACGTTTAATTTGATTTCATTCAAAGTTATGCAAGTTTTTTTTGTAGCTGAGCATTAAGACGTGTCTTCAACCGCCACAACTTAGTCATATAAATTAAAATTTAATATACGTTAAAAAAAAGCAAAACGCTACAGTTTACAAATATCGAAAATATTAACACAAAAGTGAAATATTGACATTTGAAAATTGTAATAAGTAATTTTTTTTTTGGAAACACTTTGTATTTTAGATTAAATTTTATTTATACCGCAAGAAAAAAACTCTTACCTACCTTGTAACACAGATTTTAAAAATCACCCTACTGCAAGCAAGAAAATTGGAACAACGTATCAATGTTGCACCAGAATTTCAAAAATAAACTGTAGTTATAATGCCTAAGAATAGATCGATAAGAGTATAATTAAAAACTGTATAGTTAAAAATAATCTTTGCGTATCTTCCTCAAAGAACCGTACAATTTTCCTCTTTGATTTTTTTTTGATATTTCTAATAATTAATGCGATATCAAGAAGCGCGCTTAGTGACTCACCCTGTATATTTCACTCTAAACTGAATATACAAGAAACGAGGACCACTTTAGTAGCAGATTTGAATATGCAACGTGCAAAAACTAAACACTTTGTTTTTAATTTCTAAATAGAAAACGGTTATTAACAATTACAAAATTGACTTTTTTCTGCTAAATTTAACTACACGTATAACGTTGCAAGTAGTAAATATTATACTGTACCTGCCGCTGTAATAGTGATAATAAGGGTAATACGAAAATCTAAGAAAAGGATTATTACGAATATAAAATTTCCCGGCGCATCCACCATATTAGAAAATTTGTTTTAAATGTAATTGTTGGCTGTGGGCACTGATCAAAAGCAAATTAAGGAAACATTACATTATTTATATGTATATTAATGTAAACTGAACCGTTATCCTTTAGTATATAAAATAAACTTTAGCTTATTGATAATTTTCTGCACAACAAGTCGGCATTAGTATTTAAAAGCACAAACACGTTATTATCCTCGCGACACCAGAAATTTTAACAGCGTCGACGTGTATTTTGAACCAAACTAACTAAAAAATGAGCGAACTGTTGAATCGTGTCAGGAGTTCGTTGAAATATTTGGCATTGCGGGGAAAATAATATGTTTTTGGTATACTGAAACTTGTTTTAAATACAATTTCTCACCGAAATGTAATGTGAATAAAATATCACAAAAAAAAATATAATTATAAAATAAACATGACTTGAAATGATGTGTAACATTATCAGCTAAAAGTTAATAATTAATCACATGCATTTAAAAAACTTACCCCCGTAATTAGCAATTGATGATGCGTCCATTTCGGAACCCAGTAAAAGGCCTCTGATAAAAATATTGTATGAAAAATTAATGATGACGCTATGAGGAACAGAACGCTAAGGCTGACGTAAAAGTATGCGTTCTGTAAAAAAACAAACAGGTACATAAAAATTAGCAGAAAAAGACGTTCACTTACCACTTTACCCCAATTAAAAGGAAACAAGTAAACAATGTGGGATATATCAAGAAACAGTAGGAGACAAGTGACAAATAAACTCAATAAAGATACGAACATCATCAGCCGTAAACGTCCGACCAGCGGAAGCATAAATAGGCCTACTTTTACAGTCCCTGAAGTACACAGGCATGTGAGACAGGCAATTGTGGTCACCTGAAAGTGAAAATTTATATTAATTCAAAAGTGTCGGATGAGCTTTGTCAAGTCCCCGATGTAATTACTTTCGGAGCTTTTGTTAAAAGTTTATTCTTTCTTTCATTTCAGTTAAAAAGCGTGGATTAAACTTTCCATTTAAAAATTGAATTCACTCAGCTAAATTAAGTTTCTTTTAGTATTAGCAACAACTGTTTTCTTATCGTAGGTAGTTGAATAAAACAAAAACGGTTTTAATAAGACATTCGAATTATCGACTCATAGGTCCTCTTTATTAATACAACTAACTTAATTTGAATAACAGTGTTGTGATCATAGTATAATAAATTTTAAAACGCTACTACAAAAATATACAATTTTATAACTTACAGAAGTTCATTTTACAGAATACAATTTCCTACCAGGGATATCTTACTTAATATCTTTTATGAATACAATATTGATATGTATTTTTTTTTTGTAAAATTATTGTTTTGATTAATTTTTAAAAAATTGCTATCGTTTTTTGTTACCATTACGGGCTAATAGACCACTGTTACCTTATATTTCTTGTTAATTTAACCGTTTCTGGCGGCTCTACTGGATACGTAGGGGAGAAATTACTAGAATTATTTCTGTCTCCACGGTTTGTGTAAAGGTGCAGTTGCACAGGTGTAAGTTAGTCAAGTCGAACTTTGCAAAAATAAGAAATCATATGAACCGCGTTTTCCACATTTTGTGGTTTTGTCAACCTCCAACGTGTATCTTTGACTTACTTTTCATTCTGAAACGTGTTCTGTTTACGACGCTGTTGGTTAATGAAATTATAAAGTGTCGTGAAGGCAGCCCACCCTATCTATCGATTTATTATTTCCTAAGTTTACTTGGTAAAGTGCCTTTTATACTGTTGCAAGTTCGATAAGCAAGCTTGTGAAATAAATTTACACTGTACAGTTTCATCGACTATCAAAGCTGTAAATAAAGTACAATTTAGAGTATGGGTAGTGAGTGAGGAAGCTGGGTTTTATGAACTGAACAAATAGTAATTGACATTTATTTTACGACGGGAAATGGAGATTGTGAATAATAAATAGTGATTTTGATTTAACTTATTTATTAGATTGGCTCCACACTTCCAGACGTCGTTAGAAAAATAAAAGTATGGAGAATATAAATTTTCAATAAAAAATGTGTAAAGATGTGCTTTCCAGAATCTATGGCTGTCTTTAATTGTATTTTTAATTGCTTTCTCGATAGTTATATTGACACAAATTATTCATTGACAGTTTGTGCTTGTCTGCGATCTAGTATTTTTGATTAATGCACGACGAAAACTATTGTAAATCAATTAAAAACAATTAAAAACAAATGCAATGTGCTATAAAGGTGTCACAGATAAAACTCCACTTCTTAACATCCTGAGAACGGGTAGACAAATTCAAATTATGTAAACGCTGTTGTTAAGGCTTGAATTGGGATGCATAATTTAGTAAGTTGTAAATTTTTACTTCCCGAGCGTAAGGTAAGGAAGTATTGTAATCGCGTCCATCGGGCGACTGGTTACTTTCACATTTTCTCGATATATCATGACGCCTAGAGTATAACAATATATGGGTCTTCTGTTTCCGTCCGTCTGTTTGTCTGTCGGTCCGCCGTCTATGTCAAATTTTGTTAGACAGATAATCTCAGAAACTACAGATTGTTGTCAAATTTTATATGTATATTATGTATATCATGTATATGGTAAAACGCTAACCAAACTTTGTCTTATCATCCCCACCGGCAATGTGATGGCGTCACTATAAAACTGTAGATAGTAAATGGGTTTTAAATTGTATGAAGTAACATAGTCCTGTACCTGTGGTTTATGAATCCGTGTTGAGTTTTTGGAAAAAAAAAATCAAAATTATATAATATTTTGCAATTTAATTCTGAATCTATAATCAACGCGCGAAATCGCATTTGAATAATTTGAATTAAAAAAAAATGTATTCAAGAAAATTTGTTAAACATAGGCAACCATGTGCAAGTTTAATTTTTTTCTGGTAGTTGGTAGCTGTCCTACGGAATTTCTAGGTAGTATCTAATGACAGGGTTGATAGTGAAGTTCACTTGTTTGCTAGAGGGTGGTGACGCGTCACTGTTTTTTTTGTTTTGGTGAGTGAAAGCACGCGGTAAGGAAGCTAGATTAAGTTTAGTTGACAAGGGAAATTACACCACCGAGAAGCATTTCTCGCGACGAGGGATGCATTTTGTGTTTATTTGTCGTGTGTTTGTTTGGGATAAGCTGAGGACAGTTTACAATATAATCTCTCAAAGCTAATTGTTTTAAGTAACCAGTCAACTTGGATAAAGTGTGTTTGAATCGTTAATAAAGTGTGGCATAATTTAACAACATGTAAATTCTTTGGTTGAACCGTTGATAAAGTGTGGCATAATTTAATATCATGTAAATTCTTTGTTTGAATCGTTCATAAAGTGCGGCATTATTTAACATCATGTAAATTCTTTGTTTGAATCGTTGATAAAGTATGGCCAATATTAGACTCATGTAATTTTGTTAGCTTTGCAATTTTTAACCTCATGCAATTGTTCTCTGCCTCCCTCTCTCTCTCTCTCTCACACACACACACACACACAATTTTAGCCTCAGTAATTTTCTTTACTGTATAATTTAAATTGGACATAAATTTTCATGTTGTGTACAAGTTTTACTTTACACCAGACCTTTTTTTTTGTTTTTATAAATCTTTGCTAGTTTTTTTTCTACCACGTAAATATTTTGTTGATTAATAAATTGTCTGCTATCCAGTCTTAATCTCAGATAAGAATTCTTTGCTGTTTAAAATTTCACGAGCGGAGGACGCGGTTCCTAGTCGAGCTGGCTAGATTTATCGCGCCATCTGCACAAAAGTCAGAGGAGCGGTCGGGATGACGGGACACTCTCGGCTTGTTCTAATAGCCGAAATTTCCAACCACGAGTTTGCGACCATAATGGCCTGTTAGCGCGGCATGTTTCGGCGTGATAGAGCCGTACTGAGGGGCATGTGCTTACCGATAGAACAGAGTAGAATCACCGTCGTGGTGGAAGAACAGCCACAACCAGGAGCCCCAAATTCCGCTCGTGCTACAACGCCACCTATGGGTAATCTTGCTGTGCTCTATAATGAAATTGAAATAGTTTATCGCCACACACAGCGACCCGGGTACCCCTTCAACTTTTGGAGTCATAGGCATTCAAAACGTTTAATTTGATTTCATTCCTACTTAGGCAAGTTTTTTTTTGTAGCTGAGAACTAAGAAGGTCTTCAACCGCGCAACTTAGTCGCAGCTTTTTTTTCTTTTTTTTTGTCAGTGGAGGAATAAATGTTCTGTGTCCTCCATACATTTTGTGTTTTATTTAGCGATACTTTGCCATTGCATCTGAAAGCATTCCGCCACAAAGAAAAACAAACACAATTGTTTCCATTTTGTTAGACGATCACAGCCAAGGCCAAATTTTTGAATTTTTGAAATCTTCGCGAGCTTTTCATTTTTTTTTTCGCATGTCAATTTAGGGCGAGATGTTTGGGTTATCACAAGTTCAAGGTTTCTGACGCTATAATGTGTCCTATTTGCAGTGTACTAAATTAAGCTTCCACCTTCAAAGTAAGACCAATGGTGTTTACAGAATTTTAAAATATCTACCTGTTCTTAGAATATTAGGCCGCGGAGTTTTATCCGGAAAACCTCTACATAAGTATGTATGTATGACGCTACGTTAGGATTAATTAAAATGTAGACTGACTTCGGTTAATAGTTTTAAAAATACGTGGCAAGTGGGACTCACAATTCAGGATCACACCACACTTGACTTATCCATATCACAATTTTGAATTTTTAGCACGAAACATTTCTGGATTTTAAAATCTCCGTCTTAAGCAATGTTTTCAGGTGGAAAAGTCTAGGTTTATAAGTAGGTATGTAATTTCTAATGCAACCTTTTTGTTTTAAAGTTTAAAACCATTTGCGCGCGTTTGTGAGTTAAAACTTAACATCTGTAATCAATAATTATTATTATTAAGTCGTTCGTTTATATAGATAAAGGCATGTCTAGAAATTTTAAATACCACCTACGTACTTAGTACTACAAAACTGCTTTGACATATACTGTAAGTCCTAACATTGTACGTTGACCAAATGACCAAACATACAATTTTAGAATAGAGTAACAGCAGGTAATGTAAATTTTGTGAATGATACGTCACAATAATACGATAGATCCACTTTAAGTATGAAATTAGATTTAAGTGGCAACTATTTAAATTAATGTTGCTGCCAGATGCTGTAAATAAAAATTGCTAATATACCTGCAAAATCGTTATTAAGTATAATGTTGGAAGTGTTGTTTTCGATAAATTAAAAGAACTGTATATGTTTCTGTTTTTCGTCCCTTAACTGTAACAATCAGTGTGTAGCTGAAGTTGAACTGCAAGTTGCATGTTGGATTATGAAATTTTATTAATAAACAAATAGATTTTCTATATGTATTTATTTATTTTTAAAATAATTGTAATTTTTACTGTGAGTTGTTTCAGTGTGTCTTAGTTTCCCGTATGTGGTTTTACGACAGGGTGGAATAATCGGTAAGCATTTATGCAGGAATTATTATCCATCCATACACGACATAATAAACTTGTTTAGGTAAGTACATGTATGCAGCTGAGCGTAAAATGATAATATTATGTTATAAATACGTCAGTAAATTTCTCTTTCCCTTGTCGCAAATATAATAAATATCAGAACGTCGTATACCTTTGTTATGATAATATATGTGATAGCAATGTGGCATGTATTTTTGCTGTCTTCTAAAAACAGGGTGGAGATTATAACCGATTTAAAAAAAAATCGGTGAGTTTGTGATAATATGTGGAATAAATTGTAAACATTGTCCAGAGGAATCGCCACCAGACAGACGGGGAAGCGACATTTTCGTGTTGTAGAAATAATAAAATGTAGAGAAAATATGAAATTAGGTATTC